TGAGAGGACCCGGGGGGCTAGCCGGAAGCGCCCACTACTCTCTACAGTCCCGGGCCTGCAATGATATAGACTTCGCTCAAAATGAGAAGATAGGTTGCCAGGCAACGAAACATACAGCCACAGCAGCTAAGTCTTCTGGGCAGTCAACAAATGCTGTCGCATATGTTTTCTTTTGTCAGTAATGAGAACATTTACAGCACCTGAATATCTGACTACGATTAATAACAGATAAAGTATTTATCAAAAACATTATAATTTGTTTGTCTTAGCCTCTAGAGTGAATGAATGAATGAAATACAGTTTCAGCCTCTAGAGCGTCCAAAATATTTATCGAAGTGATCAAGAGCCTTAAATCATTGAAAATAAATAGGATTCTTTGTCTCATGACCTTAAACACTGTGCATAAGATATTAACTTTGGCCTCAAGAGCTTCTACAAGATTTTTATAGATGTCAAGGGCTATAGTTACGGGAGTTATTATCGAAAATAGTTGAAAATCAATTGGCTTCTTCGTCTCATGACCTTAAACAAGATTTTTCAGTGTTCAAGGTGGGCGTATAAAAACAAATCAAAGTGTGCTCGTTGTGTATTGTATTTGCGGGGGGTGGGGAGGTGCGCCATTGACTATAGTCATGTATACATTAATTATTGTTTAGAAACAAGTAGCGCGTAATTGAACTTTTTGGCAAGTTTTACATGATACAACTTTTGAACTATTCATTATTATTTTTAAATTCCCTTTCGATATATTCTGATTATTTAAGAATTCCAGAGCGTGTGTATAGTGCAATATTCTCTAGTAACCTTTAACTACAGTAACGGCCGTTGCAGCTGTTGTGAACTCATGCAAGAGTAATTATGAACAAGAAATAATTTATACAAAGTTTTGTTTGCATAAGTGAGTTGTAAGTGTTTTACTTACATCAATGAATCATTCATTATTTTGACTGTATACATTTTCAGAAAACCTGGTAATCGCTGAGTTAAATAAATCATCCAGGAAAAAGTTCAAAATCAAAATATTATGAAAATAAATACACGTAACATTGAATTCATTATACAATTACCATGGTTACAATCATAGGCAGTTTTCTATTTAATACGAAAGACTGAAATGAAATGAAATTGGGTTTAACGTCCAATTTGTTTGCTCTAACAGGTTTATAATGAAGCCGAGTATACATCACGCAGTGTGGCGTTTTCTCCTACCATCAAGGTTTCTTTTACGTGCACAACGAAGTTTATCGTACCACCCGTTGCTAACCAGGGCCCCTTTTCTGCACCAGTGACAAAAGAGACCTTGGGCAATAATGCTAGCATAAAAAAAACAATTTTCAATGGCAGAGCTTCACGAATGTGTATTTATCTGAAATTATACAGGGCGACAATATGCTATGTCGATTCAGCTGTCATATGTGAAACATCGCAGATTTCTTAATCCGTTTTATAGCCAACCTTTGCCCCTATATCTATTAAACAGACACAAAGTTATCATTAAGAAAAAATATTGTAATATTTCATTCTATTTGAAGGCTGCATTTCATTTGAGACCACTGCGTCGATATTTTTCGATCTCCGATCACCGAAGAAAATTAGATTTTCCATTCAACTTTTTTTTGTACGGAACCTCAATAGCGTAACCTCTGCTTGGATCGCTAAGAAACACGATGCCTCTGAGAACACAAACAAATCATGGTTGTCCCTATTGCATATCAATCAATCCAAACAAGACATATAAACATGGTGATGGTTACACATCGAATATGGACAAAAAATAATTATCTTACTGGCTGAATAGCACTGATTTTAATTAGGATAAAAGCTACAGCATGTAACTCCACACTCAACATCATGATCTATTATAATAAATAGCCAAGTCAATGCTCGAGTTAGGAATTTTGAGATGTTCTGGAAGTTTTTGTTTATACATCCATCACCGAGAACTTGAAATAAAGTAAACAATCAAGTCATGGCGATAACGTGTTATTGGCGATTACACCGCTATGGGGCTGGCTTATTTAAAACTTTGGTTATATCACTGTTTCCATCTCGCAGTGTTAGTTTTAGATGAGATGGATTTTTTTCTGTATTGGTTTCTGAAACTATGTCAATATGATGTTTATGAACATGCTAAAAGTTAATAAAAACCTCCTTGGTTTGTTTTTGTATCCTATTCGAAATAAATAGGCCTACTGTTTTAACCAAGTATAACGTTTCGTATCGTTCCAGCAACTGCTATATCGCGGTGTTAGTTTTGTTGTATTGTTTTCCGAGACTATGTATTAACAAGTATAACGTTTCGTATTGCATCCAACGCATATCTCATTCCATTCCACACACAGCGATCCATCTACTTCATACTTCGAGAATAGATCTCTGCCCGAAATGGCCGCCATATCCATAAAATAGTATATTGTTTTGTAATGCGGTTCTACTCCGTTTCACATGTGGCATACACACAAAGACAACTTCTTCAATTTTATTAAGTGGAAACAGAATAACTACTTAACAAAATTCTCGAAGTTTACTTAGTGTTTTCGACTAAGATCGTCGATTTAGGACTTAAAATGTCGGTCAACTATCTTAGTGTTTGTTCTCAAGCGGAGCTAACTGTAGACAGACAGCCTATGTTTAGTATGATCTCATTCCAGCCAACAGCTATATCACCATTTCGATCGCACAGTGTTAGTTTTATTTTTGTTTTTTTTATATTGTTTTCCTTGATGTTTATGAACGACGTATCTTTTCATCCAACGCACGTCTCATTCCAGCCAACAATTGCTTATTGGTGACCTGTGACCTCTGACAGAATCAAATAACAAACTAGATGAAATATCTGGATGATTGAATAATTTCCAGATTCGTTCGATAACTCGGTACACATTTCGGTTTAACATTTCTCCGATCTTATATATTCACCGGTATTGTACATCTAAAACGGAGTATCGTGGCTATTTTTTCTTTTCGATTCCATTTAACGAGATTAAATAGATAAGAAATTGTTTATTTAAGGAATAATTCTTTTCCATGCGATCGTTAAAGAATGAGTGATTACAAGCTCGGAATACACAAGTTAAATTACCCTTCACGCTTTTTTTAGACGTAGTTTATTTTCACGTAACTTTTATACGATTGCGATGCGCTTGATTATACATCAATCAGAATACATCAGTTTGTCTTTGAAGAGAAAATAACAGAAAATTAAAACTTAAGAATCGTTTCTCTCTCATTCATATCAATTTTGTTATTCGTAGATGTGGTTTTAAATCGATATAATTCAAATTATTCCACAGACAGACTATTTGATGTTGCGGAATGTCTTTAATATGAGATATGTAAATGCACTATATTTGGTGTGAATTTGTGAATGGATGAGAACAGAATGAAGGGTGTGGGTGTGTGTGTGTGTGTGTGAGAGAGAGAGAGAGAGAGAGGGAGAGAGAGAGAGTTTAATAGTTTAATATCCACTCGAAACACATTAGGTCATTTCGGGACTAACATATGGTTCAATATATTATTTCAATTCAGGACCCGGAGACAGAAAACCCACGAGGTTGGACAAGCGACCCTACTCCTTGTCACGTACAAGCGGGAAATCGAAACCATGCCACTTGACTTAATGTCAGATCTTCAGCCATCCAACCCCCGTATCCGGGAAGAAACACCAGAACACAACATATTCTAATCAATCTGTTTAAAGTACAGACAGATCTATATTTCATTTCGTTTTTTTTATACTTTCGATGGCCTATACTACATGAAGATCTGACAAATTGTACTATAAGGTCGTGTCAGAGGTCGTACGAGCCGCTTTTGACTCTATGACGTCAGGCATTGATTAATCAATCAGCGTTGGCGTTTCTAGTGGTTTACCCACAGTTCCGTGCATATGGCACGCCAATAAGTCGCCGTAACAGACTGTTTCATTGGCTTAACCCTCCCTTCAACCAAAACGCCGATAATATAACAACTCTTCCAGATCCTAGTGTAGTAAACACAAGTAAAACGAAATTTTGAACTATAAAAAAGGAAACGAAATAGGATCTGTGCTTTAATCAGATTGTATTCCAATCTACAGTGCACTTGACTTTTTAAACTGAATGAAATATCATTAAACAAAACTATTTGAAATACTCATAAGTAATTCTTTCAGATTATTTCAGGAAAACGTTATCTAAATGTAGCTGCCTTATAATGTATTCTAAGTACACAGTGCTGCAAAATGTGCCAAATGTCATCTATTCAAGTCTATTTTTTCCTTTAACAATGACTGTAACTGATTGTTTCAATGGCGTTTTGTAATTTAACTGGAAATACACAAGGACCCGATAAGCAGTAACTATATTCTATACTAATATTTGTGACTGTTGTTTGTCTGTTTGTCTGTCCAGGGTTGGCGGCTACACTAGTGTTGTCCCGAGGCTGAAATTTGGTATATATAGAGGTAGCTCGGACAAAGGAATAATATGGGCTAGGTGACGTCGGTCTACCGCTTCCGGTTTCGTAGTTAAGGGCACAACCCGCACACAGCCCGTGCAGCGTCAGGTCATCCGCTAGTTTAATATAATTGTGACCCGTGGATTGTAATGAGGTGGGGTTTAACGTCTCGTGAACCTAATACTTCGGTCATTTTGAGACTGGTATATGGCTGGTGTTTTATCTGTGGTTACGTGTCCAAGTTTGCCCTGGGAGCAGCATTCCCACCTACTGCTCTACGAATTACAACTAACCGGGTATCTTGTACGTACATAGCTAAATTGTAAACGGGACCTCGATTTTTTAACCCATCCAGACGACTAGACACACTGCTCTATACTTAATGTCCAGCACAACTGATGATTAAATGGCCAGGAAATGAAGTGAAATGAAATGTTTAACGTCCTACTTCTCTAATGGGCTAATGAAGACGGAGGCAATCATACGTTATACAGTTTGCTATGAAGCAAATTTTGCCTGGACAAGGGGTCAGAAAAAATCGGAAATAAAGAAGAAATACTTACGCCATATCAGCAGTACTTTGGTTACTTGCTCCATCTGGCCAAAGCAGATAACAAAGAGTTCGGACAGTATTGTTAGTTTTTTCATCATTGATATCATAGACTGTGGCATACAGAAGACTTGGTAGTGCCAATAAGAACGAGGCACCCCAAATTCCCACAATTATTGTTAGAACTATTCTTCCTGTTAATCTGGGTTTCAGTGGGTGGATTATAGCCATGTACCTGAAAGAAATAAAGTCAACATGTATTTCGATCAAAAAGTTTACAGGAATAGTCACAGTACCAGAGTGCACTCTCGCTGTAATTATATTTCCATTTGCACATTGTATGTTTATAAAATATAACTATATTTCTGACAGGGAGAGGGGTTTAATATATTAAATGTATTTCGATCAAAAAGGTTCCAGGGACAATCATAGCACCTGAGTACATCCTCACCGTAATTATATTTCCATTTGCACATTGTATATTTATAAAATATAACTATATTTCTGACAGGGAGAGGGTTTTAATATATTTAATGTATTTCGATCAAATAGGTTCCAGGGACAATCATAGCACCTGAGTACATCCTCACTGTAATTATATTTCCATTTATACATTGAATATTTATAAAATATAACTATATTTCTGACAGGGAGAGGGGTTTAATATATTTAATGTATTTGGATCAAAAAGGTCGAGGGACAATCATAGCACCTGAGTACATCCTCACTCTAATTATATTTCCATTTGTACATTGTATATTTATAAAATATAAATCTATTTCTGGCAGGGAGAGCGATTTAATATAGGCTAGGCTATGCCTGTTCCCCAGTCCCTGGTTGGATAGCAATCTGAATAAAACATATTGTTTATAATTTTTAAAAAGTTCAAAAAATAAATCTTCAAAAGTACAATAGAAATATTCACAGCAATTAACAGTTTATTCGTTATTACTAGGAATATTAAGTCACGGCTTTCCACTTTAACGGCGGCGAGGTAGTTGGGAAAATATTTACACTGTTTCTCTCGTTGCACTGAGAGTATCTTTTTTCAAGTCCATAGTTCTTACTATTACCACCGGAAGAAAACATCGCGTGACGAACACTCTTGAATCTGAACTTTTCATTCAGATACTGTTTTTTTTAGTTTAAAGCTCTAATTGATTCATCTGTGTTTCAAAAGCTTCCATTAACCCCATTCCTCTAATTTAATTAAGAAATCTGTTAATTATTCATTATGTGTATCTATTTTCTAGCATATATTTCATCTCTGTAACCTAAACTTCTCTTTTTTTCTCTCTTTATCTAAAAGTAATTTAATTAAATATACCTGATAAACCAGCGTAAAATTTGACGAGTTGTTATATAACTTAATTTTATAACATTTCTTATCTTTTCCAGACGTTTCAGATGAAAAAGGCAGTTCGCCATAATGATTATATTCCTATGACTGACAGGTATGGTACACTGAGAGTCGAGCATGGTTGTTATTTTTTATCTATATATCCGGGATTAATATATGTTCAAATATTGAGTGTATATCACTTATACCCCAAATGTTAGTCTCGAAATGACCTAGTATGTGTCGAGTAGACGTTAAAATCTCTCTCTTTCTCTCTCTCTCTCTCTCTCTCTCTCTGAAGGGTGGTATTGTCATTTAGTGACTGACATGAATTGATTCAGATTGTGTATGTAGAATCTGTGGACGCTGAAGTTGTCCTTTAATGACATGAAACTATGGCAGCTGGAATTGCCCTTTAACGACATGAAGCTGGTGTTGTCTTTAATGACATTAAATGATTCTGACAGACTAACACGTACTAATTTCGTGTTTAATATAGAGAAACCCATTGAAAATAATTATTTGTTTGGTGTCAGTATGTCTCTGGTAAAAGTTTGTCCTAGGACACCTAACAGTAAACGTACTTAGTGAACTAGGGCAATATTAAAAGAAAGCCAATAAGAAGGAAGAAAAGTTGTCAGGAAATTAATGAAGGAAGACGTTTGGGACTTATCTTCATTGTATCTAAAGCTTCAACTGATGCGGTAATGTAACAGACTGGCATTAAACTTTATCTAGGTAGTATAATGTGTATCCCCGGAAGTGACTGGTTATTTAAGTTAATGTTCCAGAGATGTACACGTATTACCTGTCAAGATCGGCCCATCAGGCTATAAACTAATTTCTACATCATGTCTTCGTGACTCAATAGAGTATTTGGCAAGAATCTGGTAAATAAATCTTAACTTTAAGAATTCGAACGTTATACACGAAAATAACTCAAATGGGACTTAAGATCCAACTTTTCTGCACCGACTGGGATAATGAAGATAACCATACGCCATACAGTATTGTATGGGAGATATTTTGCCTACTTTTATTCGAAGAGTTCTTTTACGTACACACCAATGTGTACCCGGGACCTTGGTTTTTCGTCCCATCCGAACAACAAGCCACTTTCCCTTGTTAGATTCACCGTCCTAATAACTGGCAATGGGAAATGGCACCGCAAAACCCAGAGGAACTTTCTCTGGGTTAGCGAGCCAGCATAATCCCCACTAAGTCACCGCGGCTCCCCTACACGAAAATACCACCATGTCAATATTAATATAATGTCCATTGTCAATATTAATATACTCTCCATTGTCAATATTAATATACTGTCCATTGTCAATATTGATATACTGTCCATTGTCCTAGTACTTATTTTTAAAAGTGATGGCTCGTAACTACATTGATAGCATGCAAATAAAATCAAATTTGATAACAGTAAGCAGCTCATTTTGAATGATCATATGATAGTATCCACGATGGAAATGAATGGAATACAACGTAAGAGGTTTAGATCTATTTGATAAGGCTAACTTCAAGTTTGGTCAAAGGTCACGAGATGTAAACAGGGCAAACCCTAACCCTAGACCTATCTGCAATGCTTACCCTTACCTTAACCTACTATCTCGCCAGCAATCACTTGCCCTATCTATATTTACATCTCAGCGACCTTGACGAAAATTGAGTTGGCCTTAACAAATAGATCTAGCCAACGTAACAGCCGATAAAGACGGGGTTCAGAGTGCAATGCATTGTTGTTTTCGCTTGCTCGTTTACAGGAGACTTTATGATATACGTCCGTCTTTATTAACACGGTCGGTACAGAAAAGTAGGACGTTAAACCACATTTCATTTCTTTTGTCATCGCATGTAAAAATTTCTCACACGCTTTCACGGACCCACGAGGTTGGAAAGGCGACCCTACTCCTTGTCACGTAATTTGTGTCCAGTGGTCGTTACCGTCCCCTCCCCACCCCACCCTCTTCCTCTTTCTCTCGTACAAGTGTACTGACGTAACTGATAATAGACAACCGTGTACGATTATAGCTAATTTGACAGATTATCACATATTCACATATTTCCTAGTTAGTTGTATTTTATGGCTGAAATGATTTGTGAGAGTCTCTTATTATTATTTACAATGACGTCTAGTCTCATCACCCTTATCAACAGAAACAATCCCACATAAACAATAGTCGATGATTGATTACTTTTGAATAGAAATGACACGACACACTGTTACATGTTAAAAGTAAAACACTCTATGTACAATTACCTTTGCCTATTAATTAACTTTTGAAACCCTGGTCGAGTTTGTTTTTTTTTCTGCTGTAAAAATTACTGAACGCAATGAAGAGATGTGACATAACCTCAGATCGGTGTGGTGGGAGACGAATGACTCCTGGGTTTGAAAGAGTATACCATGCTTTGTTATAATCGTCAGGATTGGATCTATTTGTTCAATAACCTATGCTTATTAAAGGAGCCAAGTCTTTAACTCAACATGATCCACAATCTTTGATATTCTAAACACGACTTATTGGTCAATTTAAGTCAACATTGATGTTACTCGTATCTTTTTGTGAAAAGCTGGGCTTCTGATATCCAATATTTAAGACAAAATGAAAATTTAAAAATTGGCACACGAATCACGTGCCAGAATGCTTTCGAGCATCATTTGTATGAAGCGACTTGTTGAACCAGGCTAAACATATCCCATGTAGGAAAATACTACCGGTGTAGACTGAAATAACCAGACGCCAAAGATTGACATTCAATTCGGACTCTTCGCGTATTTCGCCGAACATAACTGATTAGAAATTACAGTAAAAGCAGAAACGATTGAATGCAAATCAGTTTATGTACATTTATATTACTTTAGTATATGCGTTGTGACCCTTTTGTGTCCATTTCCAGGTGCCAAAGAATAGCGATTTAGCTCCTTTAACTTTAAAAAATCGGGCTTGAAAACAATGTCAAGTAAGTGCAGGGGTAGCGGTGAGGGGAGGGGGCGCAAACAAAACCGATGACAACCCTGCGGATAAGACTCAGGTTTAACGCCTGCGCCTTGGATCATAAGGTCTGTTATTGAGTCAAGAAGTTTGGTTTCGATTTCCAGCTTGTATGTGACGAGGAGTATGGTCAGGCGTCTCCCGTTTCCCGCCATTGCTAAAGACCAAAACCCGCAAGAGAATTATTGGAATAAAATTGAACCATGTTAGTCCCGAAATGACCCCCTCTCTCTCCTCTCTATCGCTCCCTCTCTCTCTCTCATAGTGGTTTTAATCATCTCAAAAATAATCATAAAAATTATTAAAGTTTTCATAAGTCATAATGTGTTATAAATTTCCCTTAATCGAAGATTGCAACATTCATTTTTTCCCAGTCAACAACATATAGATTTACAGAAAGGTTATCGAACAATAAAACATTTCAATAATAATTAAACGCCTTAGTTGTACTGTAGATAAACTGCTTTACTTCTTTGTTTTTCTTGTGCAATAAATAGCAATTTGCATTCTTTTTTTGCAAACCCTGGAATCCACCTTTTATATGAAACATGTGTTGTAAATGTGCTCGGTGCCAGATTTATAAATGCTGTTAGTTTTTAATGACTCTTACTTTAAACATCCATTTAGTAAAACAACGGATGTAACGACTTACCGCTTCATAAAAATCATTTAAAATGAAATGGGGTTTAACTATTTAATTTTCTGCAACAATGAAGGCGTGTACACCATGTAGTGTGCTATTAAGTAAATATGCCCTGGATGGGACATGTAGTGTGCTATGAAGGAAAATCCCCCTGCATCGTTGAGTGGCCAAATGGCTTAACACGTGTGATTTAGATATTTAGATCACAACGTTCAGTGGCATGGTTTCAATTCCCTGTAGGAGTCGGGTCG